CTTGTAAAACGCAGGAAGCTAACTACAAACTGCTCACACGCTGGTATAGGGTTCCCTCCATTCTGCACAAGGTTTGGCCACACACTTCTAATCAATGCTGGCGTTGCAATGAAAATGGAGGGATCCTTGCTACATATCTTCTGGTCTTGCCCTCGTTTGGGAAACTTCTGGGCAGATGTGCAAGTTATATGTAAGACACTAACTGGGATAGATCTCCAAAATGACCCGGCGGCTATCCTCCTTCACCTTTTGCCTTAACCAAAAAAATCTGGAAAACTACAACTGTCCCCACCACTGCAATGTGGATCTCGAAGGTACGGGAAACCGAGAGGATGGAGTGCATGACAGCCTCCTCACATCATCAGGAAGCTAAATTCAATAAAAGATGGTTCTATTGGCACGAATACCTCCTTTCCTCGGAGTCCCCAGTGGCACCACAGTGTAGCGCTTAGGCTCCGTCAACTAAGTATACACTACCCTGTCCTGACCTGGAGTTGAAAGGTCTCTTCCCAACCCTCCCCTCCCCACCCCATTCTCCCTTTCCTTCCCTCCCCCCTCTCCACTACCCTCTTCCCCCTCTGAGCTGTCCCCCCTTTTATTTCGTATTTATTTATTTTGTTATTCTCTTTTCTTTTTTCTCTCTTTCTCTATAAACCTCTTTATGTTCTTTGGAAACGTCAAGTTGATCACTAGATTGCTCCCTAAGACGCCAGAGACAGAAAAAATCCACTTGCATAGCAGAAGTGGTTAACCTTTGTTAAATATGTCTTATTTTCTTCTGTGATCATTGTATCTGTTTGCACTTGACCTATTGGACTTTAACACTAGGGCTGCATTGTTATTGTTATTGTTATTACAGATGTTGTACTTCTGATGCTTGTGATCAAAATAAAGATTTTCAAAAAAAAAATAGTGTTGGTCATGACAACCTTGCTTGACCAACAACAGTAAATATATGTATATATGTATTGTGTAATTTGTAATAAAATACATATAATCAAATATGTTTAATTGTGTTTAATGTCATCTTTAAAGCAGCCCTTTTAAAAAATAAATTCCTCCTTTAAAATATTTGAAATAACTTTTCAACAACTTTCTTTTATTTTGTTATCAACTGTAAAAAAAAGTATTTTAATTGCAATTCATATACATAGGCTGTTAATACAGCTTTGTAAATGCCACTTGGATCCATTCTTAGCATCTTGGTTACCAAGAATGGGCTAGGGGATGTACCAAGAAAGGGGTGTATACAGCACATGCGTAGTAAGCGACAAAGTGTAAAAGTTTGCTAGGAGCAAGATGAACATTTTTGTTGGTTTTTTTTTGCAAGAGGGACATGCAAAGTCTCCTTTTCCAAAAATCTCCGAGCAATTTTTTAAAGTAAAGTTCGGCTTTAACTTAGTTTTTGCACTCTCTTTTTTTAATGATGTTAGGTTTCCATCAACACTTCTTGATTGTCTTTTCATTACATTTCTGCATGTACTGATTACTATCTACTATATCAGGGACATGAAAAGTTTCATGCATCTGTGGGTTTTTTCTATTCTTGTACACTTTAAAAATAAATCAAAAAATACATAGCAAACAACATTTGGTAGCAACATCATGTGAATTATAAACACCGAACCATGAGCTCACCTCTCTGCTGACCCTCATTAACAATGTATTGCTTTGAAACCACAGGTAGAACGTTGTACTTCACGTGTTTGTTCTGTCAGGAAAATCAAGTAAAGCGTCACTTCACTCGAGTGTCTTGAGAAAAAATATTTAACCTTTTTACTTTTCTTTCAGTTTTGTTTTGCAACCTGGGTAATCATAAGTTTCTAAAAATGTTACCTTAATTTCTTAGTGCAGTCCTAATGGCAACATAATCAAACTGCATTGTATCCACATTGTTTGCCAGTGAAAATTAAATGCGGAAAAAATTGTATGGGGCAGATTGTACAAAGCTGCATTAAGGCATACATTCGTGACAAACAACCTTTGGCTCTTTTTTTCATCCATACGTAGTAAGTGAATGTATAGACTGGGGATTGGAAAATCAGAAGGGGAGCTGGCAAAACTATGAACTCTCAGCAGAGCACCGTGCAGAATCAACTGAAAATGTCTAACTCTTCCATCTAAAAATGAATCATTTTTAAGTCCTCTCATTGACAAGACAGATGGAGCTACTTGTCACAAACTGAGCAAGACAGAGTGAACTGGATCCTATCCTGATAACCATTGGGCTTGCCAAGGAGTCTAAGAAACATATGTTATTCACCAGGAACCCCCTTACAAGGTTTTGCGCACCACAAGGTCATGTCTACAGATAATTACAGAGATAGTAGGAAACTGTAATATGACTATCAGAAAAAAACAGCCAGGCTACTAGTAAGGAAACAGAGGAGCTGGTGGCAGCAGGGAGAGAATCAGATAGACCCAGCTGCAAGGACTCATAGGAGCAGAGTCTGGCAAACGTAAAGTACCAGGAGTAGCTGTGCCCAGCTGCAAAGTCTCAGAGGATCAGAGTTTGGCAAATAGAGTTTATCAAGAGTATATGTGCCCAATTCCTGGGGCCCGTGCACAGGTGTCCCCAAAATATAACGGGAAGTACCGGGAGAGCCAAGGGACAAAGTGTCATGGTACAGGTATGTAACAGGACTTAGGTCTGGAAGTAGGTAACAGCAACATGCCTACAAGCAGGTAATGGCAACAGGACTACAAGAAGGTAACAGGACTTAAGTCTATAAGCAGGGGACAGGGCTCAGGACTCAGGATACACAGGAAATAATATCAGGCTACTGAGCCATAGTCCTGACTGCAGGAAGGGTTTAAATACCCTTCCAGGAAGCACCAGGTGATGGATAAGTGCTGGCAGCTGGGAGATACCCGCAGGTGAGCACTGGAGCTGCAGGTGCCAGCAGCACCCAGTGCCTGACAGTTCCTGGCTGCCTCGAGACACCTACAGGTGAGCACAATAACTGCAGGACCTAGCTCCAGCGCCACCTGGAAGCGCTCTGGATCCTAACATCCCAGCTGCAAGGGGTCAAAAGAGCAAAGTTTGTCAAACAGAGCATAGCAGGAATAGCTTTGCCCAGCTGCAAGGTTTTAAAGCAACAGATTTTGGCAAACATAAGGTACCAGGAGTAGCTGTGCCCAGCTGCAAGGGCTTGAAGAAGCAGAGTTTGGAAAACAGATCATGCCAGTCCTTGGATTTGGGAGAATGAAGCAGACAGGTCTGATTGGCTGCAACATGGAGGGTAAATCCTGGAAGTGACTGGGGCTGCGAACCTTAGGAGATGCTGGAACGGGAAAGGTAAGTAATCGCTACACTGCTACAAGTTTAAGTTTACATCTACATTCATTTAAGTAGATGTGAACACTAACTGAATGGCATTTTGGTTCCTAAATCACTGTGTATCATAAAGAATGTCCATGTTTTTTTTTTCTTCTTTTTTTATAAAATATTGGTTGCATGGCATTTTCAGCGCAGGTTTCCTGATAGTGAGAAAGGTGGACTTCTTAATCTGTGTTGCAGTAGCCACTTGAGTCCCCACTGGAAACAATAGAAACACATGTCACAGTGACCACACTGAAGCACAGTTGGGAAACAGGTACAGAACATGGTCACCCTGTAACAGGAAGTACTTGAACAAGGACCTTCATAACAGGATCACCAGATATTATTTTAATGAAAGCTGCATATTCAAAAATAATGACAATTACTTTTGAAAATACATTAACATGTTAAAACATTTATGATATAATATTGTTTTTTGTTACATGTAAGTAATGAAAAAAAGAGTATTTTGCAAGCAAAAAAAATATTTGATCCTTTATGTGTATATCCAGCTGCTAATTTTATTATGTGTATATCCAGCTGCTATTTAATACTACAATGCTTTTTTTAGGCTGAGCAAGACAATGGTCATCCACTTCCAGCATTTGCTAACCTTCACATTGAAATTTTGGATGAAAACAACCAAGCTCCTTATTTCACATTGGCTACATATCAAGGCTTCATACTAGAGTCTTCTCCTGTGGGAACAACAATCTCTGACAATCTAAATTTAACTGCTGCACTAAAATTTGTAGCTTTGGATAATGATATTGAAGAGGTGAGTTCTCCCATTTATATATTTATTCTCAACTAAATGCAAACACAACATGTGCTTTCATAAAAAAACAATACATGTTACTACTGTACACTTACAGTATATTAGGAGTAGTTAATAATTGTGTAGTGAGTGTTAATTAAGAACTCTGTTTGCGTCTTGGAACATTTTGTTGCATCTTCCTTTGTGGATTAACATGGGTAGCAAAAGATACATTGGGTGCAGGTTCGCCAGGAGGCAACCCAACCTCCTTAAAGGCACAGAGACACACAAGGGTCCCTGGAATGTGGGCACATCAGCCATGTAAACCTTTCAGAGGTTGTTGATTTGAGTTTGTAATTCTGTGTATGATTTCTTTTCTATTATGGAATTCCATAGATTTAACCCTCAACAAATCACTTAACATACCACTGTAATAGTGCTTGAAACTCACTAAATGTTTCCTGTGAATATTGTTTTTTTTATTAGTTTAGTGCCTTTAAATGCCAATACATTTTGTTTATAGAAAGGACTTATTTTTTTTTTGCATGTGATATTTATTGACATTTTTCAAACATTCGCAGCAGATACACATGTAAAACCATCGTAACAGATTGGCATATGCTTAATACATTCTATGCCATGTATAGATAACGGCTATGTCAGTAAAAAACAACTGTGAGAGCATCCGTTATCTGCATAGCAAACATTGCAACAACTTATGATCAGTTGTCGATAAACCAGAAGGGTAAAGATAGAAGAGGTAAAATAAGATAAACATCTAATGCTTCACCAATATTATCAGATCGATATGAACTAATTTTGGGGTACACCATGTAAGATCGTAGTGATAAAGGGACAAAACTGGGACAAACTGAGTGTCAAGGGATGAGGAGGATCGTAGAGCAATGGGCAATGGGCAAGGGTAGACCGCAACCAATACTGATCCTAGTGATATGGGACATTTTTTATAGTATGAGGAAAGGGGCTCCAGCCTTAAGCTCATAATACATCCAAGGCCCCCAAGGAGCCTTCCAACTTGGCTCTATCATACCATTTCGAGTGTTTTGATGGCCCGTTTAGTCAGGTTCGGACGAGAGACAAATCTGTCCATGTCGTCAGGTGGTTCGTTCCGGTGCATTCAGCAGTCTCTGAGCTAGAGGAGAGGACCGGGTAGTGTACTCGATAAATGTACGGGACGGAGCGATGCTGCACACGTCTAGCTCATCGAGCGCCGGAACCGGAAGTGAAAGGACTTATTATTCCTTCTAGGGTGAATCCACTGAAAACACAAACATTAGTGTTGGATTCTGTTACTCATAACTATTTACTTGAGATCGAATTTCCTTTTTATTCAAACAGTCTCTTGAGGTCTGTTATTATTTTTTTAAAATACTAATTATTGCTTCTGCTGTAGCTTGTTGGTTTTTACAAAGTAGTCACTTCAATTATGTTCCTGCCGAGCCCAAGGTTAAGGCAGGAACAAAACTACAAATGGGAAGCTTTTGACTTTGACAAGAGGCTTTTGAAATATTGCTTTAGTACAAAGAACTGTGCAATAAAAACCTGGCAGTGATTCTAACTCCTCACTACTCTATTGGAATCTAAAAAAAGGTTTTGTCTTTAGTTATACTTCAATAATGTATTGCTTAGTGTTCTTATTCCTTATACTAATTTATAATTAATTCAAAAACTGACTAACTTTAATGGGAATTAACAGTACAGATATTAGAGATGTATATAGATGTATATGTATATAGATGTATATGTATATAGACTACAACGAAGAGACTCTATATGAACTTTAACAAATGATAGCCAGTGATAAACAGAGAATAACACATGGATCCTGTTAAAATGGTGCTCTCTCTTTGATGGCAAGGCATGAGCCATCTCACAACACTTTTTCCTGCAAAGCTTACCACTGCACCTGGAAAAGCTTCTCTAAATGGTGCATGGATCTCAGGCTTAACCCCATGACCATTTCAGCTTATTTGAATGGATGTGTGCCTGATGCTGGGCACCAATAAGTGATAGATTATGGTATTTGCAATCTTATTTTAATAACCCATGGCTTCACATTCCTTGTTCATACTGTCATTGCTCCCATCATCCACCCTGTTAAGACCACCTTGGCTTCATACTTTAATTTGATTCTCTCTGAGTTCAAGGTTTACTCTTTAAGTCCATTTCTTTCTGACCTTATCTCAGAAGATGGATTTCCTTATTGTTATCACTTCAGCTTGAAGGGTTTCAGAGCTGGCAACCTTGCCTTCTTTTCAACCTCAGTGAGGACATTGTTTTCCTTCTCTGTATCTCCTTCACATCCTAAGAGGATTGCTTTGCAGAAGATAGACAAGGCTAGAGTCATCAGGTTTATCTGATGGCCACAGCTTCCCTTCTAAAGACTGTTTCTTAGTTATTCTAGATGGTCCATGCAAGATGTCCTCGGCATCCAGTGCAACAATGTCTGAATAGATTGTGTTGACTATTTTGCAAGCATGTTCCTTAAATGGACAGGAACCTTTGTTTTCTGTCACTGCTTACACTACTAGGGCATTGGGTGTGTAATGGGATTTTCGGCACCAGGTATCGGCTTCTCAGGTATGTAAGGGAGCTACCTAGTCTTTACTTTGTGTTCAGAAAGCTTTAATGTGTGAATGTGACAGTGCTAGTAGATGTTAGCTTTGAGTGGCGATGGGATATTGGTAATGCTCTGATGCTTGAGCATTGCCATGGAACCACTGGTTGCACCTTCCTTTTTCCCTTTGGAACTGCTTCCGCATAACCCATGAGTAGAGAAATTAACAATGTACCCAATAAATGCTAGAAGAAAAGGGGTTGAACTGTTTCTATAGGGATGTACAGTTCATATTTTTTCTTAGGAAGGTTATCTTCTATAAATAATGTTTGTTTACTGCTTGCTACTCTTGAGCTTGTCAGTACATGAAATTATAGCCACTAGAAAATGCTGTACCCTTTGCTTGTGTGCAACCTCCTGGGGTGGTGGTTATACCCATTGGTAGAATATTATCTGAGTATGTCCCCCAATGAACTACTAAGAGATTTTATGATGAGTACAAAACTCCCTTTATTTTCAGACTTTTCAAGCTTGCTGTAGAATTATGAGAGTTTGAACACGATAACATTAGACTTCATTTTATGAAAACATTGTCAGCTTTTATTGACCCCAGATATATACTCCATGGAACAACACTAAACTGGATTCAATAGTTGTGACTGTCTAAGTACGTTGTGAAGCTTTCCTGTGCTCAAATCATGCAGATGACAACACGCTATGTAGTGGAAGAATGTACTTACACAATGTCTCCAGCTTACAACCAGACCTGAATGCATGGCTTGATTGGACAACTATGTGGCACATTTTGTGTTTATGTTTATAACTGTAAAGGTATGCACTTGGGGACTAAAAACATGCATGCATCATATACTCTAGGTGGAGTAGAATTGAGGGGGTCAATAATCGAGAAGGATCTGGGTGTTCTGGTAGACCATAGACTTAATAATAGCATGCAATGTCAAGCTGCAGTTTCTTAAGCAAGCAAAATGAGAGAGAGAGAGAGAGAGAGAGAAAGAGAGAGAGAGAGAGAGAGAATATCATGGCCCTGTACAAAGCATTACTAAGACCTCTGCAGGGATATAAAGTTCAATTTTTGGCACCAGCTCACAATTAGTGCTGAATAAACTATTTCTGGAAAGAGGTTAACATCATGCATGAACCACCTTGTATTTTGTGTGGTTTTAAGCAAATTGTTTAGCTGCTGTTTCACTGGGAAAAAAAAGTGGCATACCATTAATTCAATATTAACCAGTTGACATCCGCGGTGTTAAACCCCCTTCCCATCCAGGCCATTTTTCAGTATTCAGCGCTGTGGTACTTTGACTGACATTCCCCCTATATAATAGCAAAGGCACACTGACAGGTCCTCTTTATGGAGACATTAGGGGTCTCTAGGACCCCTAATGTCACCTGTGGACCCCAAAAGAATCTGATGAAGCAGAGATCTGCTTCATCAGCTTCTTCTCTCTGGCTATAGCAGCCAGTTGACAAACGAGCACATATAAACGAGTTGGAAACGAGCACATATAGACGATAAGCGGGCTATGGAGCCGCTGATCGCCTATATGTGAAACACCCGGTAACGGGTGTTTGCATTGCTCGGGTCTTCTCTGCCCGTGCGTGCCCGCTAGGGGGCGCGCGCGAGCAGAAAAAAAATGGCGTCTGGCGACGGCAACCCGCCAGTGCAACAGTGCCGTCCGTCCGTTTTTTTACAACGGGCGGACGGCAAGTGGTTAAGAAAAGTTTACTCTGATTGTCAGAAAGACCAATTTAGGACATCCACTTGTTTATTGAAATCCACACGATATATTGAAATACAGACAGTCACTCCCAACAGTTTTTTTATAATTTAATAGGATAGCAAATATCCCCCCTTCCATGCCTCTGAGGATGTTTTAAATAAGCTGAAGTCATACAGGCACTATATATAGGTAGGTTTTTCATTAACTTCCAAAATAATCTAATTTACAATGTGTTATAATTACAAAATTATGCTTTTCGCTTGATGCACACACACACATATAAAAGCAGATGCTCCTTAAAAAAAATAAAAGCTAAAATATGCCCAAGGTGCAATGGCAAGGTGTACATGTTCATTGGTATGTCACATACAGGATCTGTAAGCAGGGAGTGTAGTTAGTCATGTTTCCTCAAAGTATATAACTTTAACTATTAGTATCTCTTGCACATTTGCTTCCTCTTAAAATTGAGAAAGACAGCTAGTTTTCTAACCAAGAAAGAAAATAGGGGCTTTTTGTGTTCAGTTATAATTCTGGTCCCCTCATATACACATGTGTCAAATACCTTTTTAGCATCCACTGGTCAACATTTATCCAAACTCATTAATGTGCACTGCTAATGTGAACAGCACTGCTAGTAGGGAGCATGCCAGCTAAAGTTTTACAAATACAGAAAAAAGGTCAGGTAAACACTTTGCCTAATA